AGCGTGTGAGAGAGAGAGAGGGACAGACAGAGAGAGTCTGCTGCTCCGACAGGACAGCTAGCGAAAAACCGAGGGGGTTGGGGCCAAGGGAAACAAAAGAAGGGGACAGCCTGGTGGGTGGGGTGGTGGAGGGAGAGACAGGCAGATGTGATATTAGTTCCCTGACGTCCAGCGCCATGGCTGCAGCCAGCACGGTCCGCCCGGGCTCGGGTCCTTATCCAGGCTTTGTGTTTGCCCAGGGGACGGAGCGGTACACAGCGCGACGCGCCAGGACCGTCCCCAAGCGCCGCCAAGTCAAACCAGACCGGGTGAGTCGGAGATTAGTGTTTTATTTGCCCTCGTCATGTATTCAGAGAACGAATGTAGAGCGTCGTGATTTAATTCATACTGTGGCAGTGGCACTAAATTTGCACACTTTAGTGCCATGTATTTAGAATAAAATAAAAATTACATGAGTTTAAAAAACGTTTGCACTTTGTATTCTAACATTGAATGTATGTTTGTTCCTCTTTTAGAAGATGAAAATCTGCGGCGTGTGTTCCAAGCTCATCGAGTCGCGCGGCTCGTCTTATGTCTACACGTACAACAACAACGTGATCCTGACCAACAACAATAACAACAACAATAACAACAACTACATCAGCAGCCGGAGCAGCAGTAGCAGCAGCAGCGGCAGCGGGGGCAGCGCGACAGAGCGCGGGGGGGAGCCCGATGTGCCGCCCCCCGTGGTGCCCGCCCCCGCGGGGGCGGCGCTGCTCGGGCTGGCGCTGCTCGTGTTCCCGCTGTTGCCCGCCTCCAACCTCTTCTTCTACGTGGGCTTCGTCATCGCCGAGCGCGTGCTCTACCTGCCCAGCGTCGGCTTCTGCCTGCTCGTGGCGCAGGGCTTCGCCTGGCTGGCGGACGGCAACCGGGGGCGGCGTGCGGCGGGGGCGGGCGCGGCGGTAGGAGCATCCCGCAGACCCAAGGCGGGTGGCGGGCGGCGGGAAGCCTGGCCGGGCCGGGCGCCAGTGCTGGTCGCGGGCGTCCTCCTCCTGACCGTGTTCGCCGCCAGGACGGTGCAGAGGAACTGGGACTGGGCGGACGAGGAGGACCTGTACCGGGCCGGGATCGCCGTCAACCCGCCCAAAGGTAGGAGAGCGAGCTCGGTAGTAGGTCGACATGCGGCGCAAGCATATTTGGCGAAACTAACTTGTGTATTGTTCCACACAGCCTACGGCAACCTGGGCTCCGTGCTGAGCTCACGGGGACGACTGAGCGAGGCCGAGCACGCCTTCAGGATGGCGCTCAAGTTCAGGCCCAACATGGCCGAGGTTCACTACAACCTGTAAGTACGCCAAGTACGGTGTGTTGTAATAAAAGCAATGTGAGAATCTGTGTCAGCGTGTTTCTCTGTCTGTCTGTCTGTCTGTCTGTCTGTCTGTCTGTCTGTCTGTCTGTCTGTCTGTCTCTCTCTCTCTCTCTCCTCGGCGCCAAAAGCGAGATGGACGGCCGTGTTGACTGCCGCTCTCGACAAGGCGACGCACAAAAAGCAAAACCCACCAATCAGCACGAGCAAAAACGGGCGAACTCGTGGCGAACACGTCCCTCCGAGCGAGCGAGAGCGAGAGAGAGAGAGACAGAGAGAGAGACAGAGAGAGAGAGAGAGAGAGAGAGAGAGAGAGAGAGAGAGAGAGAGAGAGAGAGAGCGCGCTTGGGGGAGGGAAAAGAGAAGGGCGCTCGCGGCCGGCAGGTAGTTGTCGGGGCGCGAGGCAAGCAGGCCCACGGCAGCCCACGGGAGCCCGCCCGGGGCGTGCATAGCCTTATCTGCGGGTTGCCGATGTTTCAGGGGCAACCTGTTGCTGAAGCGAGACAAGCTGGAGGAAGCCATCCGGAGCTATCAGCAGGCCATCCATTACCGGCCCTCGCTCGCCCGTAAGTCGCAGCGAGTCCGACTCCTGCTCCTCGCCCTCGACGGCCATGCCTGACGCTCTGTCTCTCTGCCGCAGTGGCACACCTGCACCTCGGCCACGCGTTCGCCGCGCGCGGCCAGGTCCGCGAGGCCGTGTCGGCGCTGGTGAGGTGCGCGTCGCTGCGCCTGCCGTCGTCCGGGCGGCTGCTGCAGCAGGCCGTGCACGCCGTGCGGGACGAGGCGACGCACGAGGCCGCCCGGGTGTCGGCGCTGCTGCTGCTCGGCCACCTGCACGCCGCGCAGGGGCGGCTCCGGGCCGCGGAGGCCGCCGTCAGGGAAGCCATCCTGGCCCGGCCCGAGGACTACCAGCCCGAGCCGCTGTACAAGCTGCTGGCCGAGGTGGAGGAAAAGCTCCGCGTCCAGGCGGAGGCGCGCAGCAGGACCGCCGACCCGCTGGACCACCGGGAGCAGGCGGCCGCGCACGCCGAGGACGCCGTCAAGGACCAGCCGGCGCCGCCGGCCCAGGAGGAGCAGCAGAGGACGGCGTGGTCGTGGCGGACGAGGACGTGCAACGACAGCAACACGGGTCATGTGCGTGCGTGTGTCCAACGTGGCCGTCGTGGTCGCCGTCGACGTGTCTGACAGGAATGTGTGGTTTGTTGCAGCGCAGGCCTTGCCCGGGCGGCAGCAGTCCAGCGGCGCCGAGCGCGCCGAGCTGAGGCTCGGGCCCGCGCGCGAGCCGCCGGGGCCCCCGCCGGGGCCGGGCCCCGAGGCCGACCGGGGCGAGTGCCCCATGGCCGCGGCCGCGCTCTTCCCCGTGCCCGCCTCGCCCTGCGCCTAGGAGCGGCCCGGCTTCCACACGTAAATCGATAAGACTTGAAACTCGAGACAATATTTTGGCGCGGATCCAGATTCGCTCTAGTGTAAGGGACAGAGGAGTTATGACCGGTTTATGACTCTGAATGTAAATATATAAATACAGATGTGAATAAAACCAGAGCCAGGGATTTATTTTGTTCTCACGTGATCAGAATCTATGATTACAGTACAGACAGTATATATAAAAATTGTTTATCATTCGTCTCTCTTGTGACCTTTGCGCTGTATATATAGCACGCGGTGACTTAAAACAAAGCACTTTCGATGCAAAATACTTTCTCTTTGCTGAAAAATTAAATAAATTATAGTGCCAAGAGATTACTTACCTTGTTGTATTGAAATATCCAAACCTTTTTGATGTGAATACGGGGTTTTATACCAGATGTCTTTTTTCTAATCAAACGAATAAATTTATTTATTTACTCGTTATTAGTAATTCCTCCTTCCTTTTGCCCTGGTATCATATTTCTCCAGCGGTATCCAGCGGAGCTGCTGGCCAGCCCATGGGCGACGAGACACGCAGCGTACGACGAAATGCGAGTGTAACGAAACGCGGGCGCAGGGACGGCAAGGCGGGGGAAGGGTAATTTAAGAGAAACAAAAATAAAAATCACACCTGCGCATCTCTTTTGCACCAACTCTGCCTTCTGCCATGCCCGAGGCCCCACCGCACGCCGCCACGCCTGCCTCGGCCCAACACCACCCTACCCCGCCTCGTCCTCGCCCTCGCCCGCTGGTTACACAGCCGCTCCTTTTTGTCGCCTCCGTTGGCCACCCTGCCACCCTCTCTATCAGGGGCCGCAAATCGTGCCAACCGTAGCGCCCCCTTTCTTCACCCGAAATTCTCTCTCCTTCTCTCCCCACCCACGTCGCCTCGCCTCCCTCTCGCTCCCTC